AAGCACCTAATTTATTACTTCGTTTTAGAAGGAGCTCTATTGGTAGTTAGGGTATTTTAATAGCGGTTATTATTATTAATATACTCTAAAACCGATAATTAAATAGAAATTATTATTATTATTATTAAATAATACTTTAGGGCGTTCTACTCCTACTATGAGGACAATTAATTACGATATTTCTTATTAACAGAATTTACTACTAATAATTACGTTTCCAAAATTATTGGCCTTAGCTCCTTCTTTATAAATTATAAATAGTATTCGAAAATAGAAACGGAATTACTACTACTTTATAGTACCCCTATATTAAATATATAATACTAGGAAGTTTTAAACGCCTAATACATTAAAGAAAGGGTAAATAGAATTATTACCCAAGCCCGGCTATTTATAGAAGAAACTTAAGAGAAATATTATTATTATATTAATAAAAAGAGATCCGATACTTTGTATTATACTATAGGGGATAAGGTTTAAGTTAGTACCCGCTATTAGGACTAGGGCCGCTTATTTATTAAGTTATTAAATAAATAGGCCGGTCCCTTTATAATAGAGAAGGTTTATAAGAGGGTTGTAACTTTTATAATAAATGTATCTTATAAAGTCTTCTTTATTTTCTTTACTTCCCTCGTCTAACTATATAAAATAGCCTCATGGGGTAAGTTATATTTAATAAAGATTTCGATAAGTAGGCCTAGGGTATTATAGCGTCTCTAATTAACTTTAGAGAGGAGGAATAGTATTTTAAACGGATTTTAAATTCGAGGTAGAATAAAGATAGTATTTTAAAATATAGGATAAAGTAGTTAAAATTATATAAATCCAATTAGAGGCTGGTAGAGGACTTTTAGGAGAATATTAATAATATTTAGGATTTCTATACTAAAAACCTAATAAAATTAAATCTAACCCTACGAAGGGATACTGAAATAATAGTATAAAAACATTATAATAATGAGGAAATTATATTAGGGTAATAGCGAACTACCTATAGAAGTATATATTTATAGTAGGTTATTAATAGGAGTACTCTAGAATATTAATCCCCCAACTATTTTTAACGGGCTATTTATTATCCTAATAAACCTTTAGGACTTTTAACGGGCTACCTATTACCCCAATAAGCCTTTAGGACCTTTAATAGGCTACTTATTACCCTAATAAGCCTTCGGGACCTTTAATAGGCTACTTATTACACCAATAAGCCTTTAGGAGATAGAGAAACGCTTTAGGATTAAGAAAAGGGAAATAGAAAAATAATTTAGAACTTAAAAAAGAACGCCGGGCAATAGAACGGACTAATAATTTATATTTATATAAAAAATATAGAGGATATACCTTTCCGAATAATATAATAGGGCGGTAATACTATAATTTTTTTCTAGTATTAACCTAATTTAACCCTAGATACCCTAAATTAAATACTACTCTGGAAAGAACCTAGCCAACCTATAATCTATAGGAATATTACTATTTTACTATAGTTCCAAACTAATTTTCCTAAAATTAACCCTATATTATACTACTATAAAACCCCGAATATAAATTTTAATTACTAGTATAAAAACCCTACTATTTAATAATTACCGGATAATTACCGTTCTATTGCAATTACTACCTAACTACTACTATATTACTAAATAGGAGCTCTAACTTAGAATATTATTAAAATAGGGAAATTGGATATGATTTTATTAGTTTTGAAATTAATATCTTCCTTATCGGTAGTACCTAGCTCGCTAAAAGTACGAGTAACCTCCAATTTAATAGCAGTATGGAACTGGAATTTGGTTAAAAATTAATTAATATAGTTAATATTACTATTAATTAAGCAAAAGCGCTATACGTTATATTAGAAACGGTACGCTTCTACTAGTATATTATAATTAGAACAGCGAGGAGCTAGTTACTAAATTATAATTCGGCGGATATTAGTAATCTTATTAATAGCAGCGTACTATAGGAATATTAATAAAATATTAGAGGAATAATACGAAGCCTATATAGTAATTATAAATTTATAGTATTTTTAGTAGCCTTCTTAGCCCTAATTAAAGATTTATCCGCCTTCTAAACCTTATATATAATATTAAAGTAGACTATCAAATCCCTTAATTCAATAGTAATATAGTAGTAAACTTCTTCGGACTATATAAATTTATTATTATCCTTCTCCTAAAAGAACGTAGCTTAACGAATTATGGTTATTATATTAGTACTATTATTATTTATAAGAATAACGATTTAGGAATATTTGGGTAACGCTATATAAAAAAAAAAAAATTTACTTAATTGTAATTATTCTTTCTCTTATAGTAAATAAAGTACTTCCGGCGCCGACCGAGGGGGAGAGGGCAATATAATATAATAGGTTCGTTATTATTTAAAATAGTATACTTTGTAGCTATATAGAAGCAAATTATATAATTAAAGCTATTAACGAAGGTATTATTAGTAGAATTAACCCTATTAATATATTAATTTACTATAGGGACTTTATTATTAATATTAAAGCAAGGCGGTATAATAATAGTACTTAAAATTTAAAAGAAAGAGTAGGGAGTAGAAACTAATATTACAAGGTCGTTTTTTAAGTAAAGAAGGAATTTTACACTTGTATTATATAATAGTAATATTATAATAAAAGAAGAATAAGGTATACGTTGGAAGAAGGAGAAAAAGAGAAGGAGAAGGAGGTAGAAGAGGAGAAGGGGAAGGATGAATCCTAACTATAGAAGCGAAAACGCGCCGGGATACGCGCGTTTATTTAGAGAGGCCCGGGCGCTACAACCTAAACTACCCTAAGTTTAGCGTATAAAGTAATTATTACCCGGGGCAATTATAGCTTAGTACTATATATATAGACTACGTTCCTTAGCATTATAGCGACGGCCGTATACCAGTATAGTAAATTTACCTACAATTAAAATTAATTGCGTTTTAGAGCCTAGGGTATTATTATAGTACTAGAAATTATAATACCGAAGCTTTAGCGTTCCCCTACCGTAGTACTATAGATCCGAATTATATCCTTAGCCCCTATCTCCACCCTACAATATATATAATTTGAGAGTAGAATTTTCACTACTCTCTTCTAATCTTTCCCCCTTTGTACAATAATACGTCTTTTCCAAAGTCCTTATTAGTCAGCATCGTAACAAGATTATTTATTACAATTAAAAATTGTAGGAATATCCTCTTTTTAATACTAGAGGCGGTGCTATTATTGCCCGCGAGGATATAATTTTAATTACGGAGGTCCTTAAGTATAGAAATTGTTTTACTATTTGTAGCTGGTTCAATTATAAAATTATAAATTATATATTTACTAGTCTTAATATAATTAATACTATAACTAGTAATACTACTACTAGTCCCCTTATCCCTAGTATCCTTCCTACGCTTACTTTTACTATTAGTAATAATTTCATTACTTTTACAAAGTTTAATAACGTTTATACTTATTTAGCATTTCTATAACGTACTATTAGTAATATAAGTAATATTTATAGTAATATTAAGTCCTTATACTGTACTTTAAATAGTCTTTATATATAATTAATTAGTCTTTAGGTTTAGAAGGAGACGTTCCTTCCGGCTCTAAAGGTTAGTAAGCGTAACTCAGTCAAGGGAAGTATTTAGGGCTTATTTAACGCTTCACTTTTTCGCTATAGTATTCATTTAACCGCTTATATTTAAATTGCTTCTCCAATTGGCTTTACTATTAATACTACGTTTATACCGCCCTATATTCCTAATTTTACTAACAATAATATAGAGGTTAACTATCCTATTAGCTTAGTTTCTTCGGCTCCTAGTAGTAATAAGGAGGAGGGTCCGGTAGATTATCCTTTTAACAATATTAAAATAAAAGAGGGTGAAATTACTAAATAGAATTTATTTTTATAACTGCTCTCTTTTTTTTAGTATTTTATAAATTAATTATTTGGGTAGAGGGTTAGCCTCTTTATAACCTTCCCTATAGGAGAAAAGTACCTTAGCCTTTGGCTATAATTAACTTCTCTTTTGCTTATTAAAACGAATAGTTCCTTCGCGCTAATATTACTCCAATAATCCATTATTCGTATTTGTAGGCCCGTATTTCTATTCGAATTCATCGAATACTACTATTTCTAAGAATTCTTCTAGGGGCTCCTAAGTAATTTCTTTAAAGCCCTTCCATTTTATATAGATTATAGAGATAATAACCCTTCTTTCTTTATAAAGTTGTTTATATAGAGGATCTTTTCTATTTTCTATTTCTTTTCCTTTAATAATAATAGTCAGGGGCTGTGAATTAATAGTATATTACCCGGGTAGGGGGTTTTCGGCGGCTCTACGGAGGAGGTTTATATAAAAGTGGTTATAGGTTATAGATAATAGTCCTTTTAATTCAATTATATATAGGAATAAGATTCTAGAAATTGTATATTTAGCGTAAATTATATTAAATTTCTGTTTAGAGTGTATAGAGTTGTAGTTTTTGAGGTTGAACTAAACTTTATTTCCAATTTAGAAGCGTTAGCGGATTATTTAAAGTAGTTTACGAATTTCTTTTACTATTATACGGTTATAATTATAGTAGTTTGGTATATATCTGAGATTTATTATAGTTTCTTAATAAATTTGTAAGCCTTCTTTTCGGGGATAAATATAATAGGTAGCTCTTTTAGAGGGCTTTCAACCGTAGGGATAATAGGGCCGGCTTTATAATTGTAGATTGCAAAGAAAGGGGTTATATTAATAGAGGTATTTATTTTATTATTAATTATTAATTATACTATAGGGGTCTAGTAGTCCTAATTATTCTATAAGTAGTTAATATAAGCTTTAAAGAAGGCGTATACTTTTTAGTTTATTCTCTCGGGCCTATTATTAGTCTATAGGTAATAGGTTTTATTAAGGAGTTGCTCTATATATATTAATTTTTAAAAGCGTTTTTAGAATTTATTTATTTAATTAGTATTTTTATTACTAACAATTAAATATAATTGGCCGTAGTAGCGGACGAAGTATTAAAGAAAGTACTTTATATAAAGGTTTATATTTATAAATAGTATAGGTTTTAGAATAATATTCTTACTTAGCCGGTTTTTAATAACCTATTGATAAGTATTATTATTAGTATTTAGGAGGTTTATAATAAAATTTATTTAGATAATTCTATAGTACTAATCGGGGGTTAATAAGGTTTATAGGAAGCCTCTCTTTATATTTTTTTAAACTTTTATAGAGTTATAAATATAGTAGTTACGTAAGAAGCGCCGGACGTAGGTTCCTAATAATAATTAGTAATATTTTTTCGAGAGGGTAAAGACTATTCCTTTTTTACCGGAGTAACTTAGTATAGAGGCTTCGTACATTTTTTATATAGGGGCTATACGAAGGGCGTCGATTCGTTATTCCTAATTAATAACTACAAACACCACGGCTTTAAATACAGTTAGGGCTTCCGGAATTTAAAAGCGCCTTTTATAGCGTAGGTACCTTAATTTATCTATAGAACAATTAGCGATTTAGACTTTCAATTAGAGTAATAATATAAAGGTTCGGGTATTCTTTTTAATTATACATAAGGCGGCTTAGTATATAGAATTGAAATAAACAATTTAATCCTAAAATTACTATAAATCCGGATTTTTAAATATTTATATATTTCCTACTAGGGTAACTGAGGAGGTAGAGATTTATATATATTTCTATAGGGCCGCTTCCGGAATAAATTATATATTCCGGGCTTCAAAGTCTTTACCTAAGGGTTAATCCTAATATCTACAGAATAGGGCGTCTAGGATTATAATATTTTTATTTAAGTAATAAATAAGGTAGAAGTTAAACCGAAATAAGTATTTAGCCTAGCGGGTTTACTATTTAAATAGGCTATAGCGCTCTATAAAATATTCGAGGTTATAGTAGTTAATAAAGATTGTAAAAGTTTTATAATTATAGAATTCTATTAATTATTCTTCGAAGTACAAAATAATTATTAGTATTTTTTCATTATAAATAGGGTAATTGCGTTCGATTATAGAAAGTTTCTTCGAATAGAAGGCTATAGTACGTTGGGTCCTATTTTTTACTTTTTGCATTAGGATTCCTCCGAGGGCGTAGCTACTATAATCAGCCTTTAAAAAGGTTTTACAGTCGGGGTCGAACTTTATAAGGATAGGCGCGCGTATAAATAGGCATTTAAATAGCTAGAAAGTTATATTATATTCCTTAATTTATACGAAAGCAATTCTCTTATTTATAAATTTAATTAGGGGCGCGGCTAATTTCGAGAATTATAGTATAAATATACAGTAATAATTTATAAAACCGAAGAAGTTGCATACACTTTTTTAGGATATAGGGGCGAATTAGTTTAAAATTACTTTGACTTTTTCGGGGTCGGTTTATACGCTTATATCCGTATAGATAATAAAATTAAAATATTTAACTTTTTTTATAAAAACTTCGTATTTATTAGGGTTAAAGTATAATTTATATTCTTTAAATCTCTTTAGAACTATTACAATTTTTTTCTTATAGTTCTCTTTAAATTTAAAAGAATAAATAAGTATATTATTTATATATAGAGAGTAAAAATTATTTAAGAAATTGTATAGGATAGAGTTAATATATTATTAGAAGGAGGCTAGGGCTTTAAATAAGCCGAAGGGTATTACTAATTATTCGAAAAGACTATAACGGGTTTTAAATACTATTTTACCTTCCTCTCCCGCAATTATACGTATTTTATAGAAGGTTACTATTATATTGATTTTCGTATATTATTTCATTCCTTTTAAAATTCTAAAGGTTTTACAGATTAGAAGGAGGGGGTAGCAATCTATATAGGTAATAGTATTTAATACTTTATAATTATAATAAAAGCGAAGTCCGCCTCTTAGTTTATATATAAATAGAACCAGGGCTCTAACTTCTAAATTACTCGTCCGGATATACCCTTTATTAAGGAGGTTTTTAAACGTTTTTTTTAATACTAATAACTTTTTTCTATATATATTATATAGAGGGTTAAAAGGGAGGGGGAGGTTTTACCTATCCGGGCCCTTCTTAAGGGGGATTTTATAGTCAACATTAAACTTAGAGGGATTAAATTTATTAGCTTTTTTTTTTATTTATAAAAGGAGGAGGTAGTAGAATTATTTAGGGATCTTCTTTCGAAATTAGGCTTTTATATAAACTTTCTTTGGAGTAAAAACTTTTTTAATATCCTTTAAATTAATTATTAAAATATAATCCTCGGTTATAGCTCTACTGTATTCCTTACGAACGTAATTAATAGTTCCTACAAATATAGTAGTTATTATATATATAATAGATTTTATTTCCTTAATAAATAGCGTTTCCTCCTTTTCTTTACTTCTAATATAGGGAATTTAATTGCCCGCTACTCTTATATAGAGGCGCTTTTTGTAAAGGATTAAATAGGCTCTATAAGTAATAAACTATAATTTATTTAGGATTAGGGGGTATTCGAATTCGGGGATAATATAAATTACTATTAATTTAGTATAACTATTAACTTTTATAATAAATTAAGCGAGGTTTTAAATAGCGGTACCTTTTATAATTATAAACGCGCCTTTTATTTAGCGGGTGGGGATAGGAATTATAGGGATTCTAAAGGTTTAAATAATCTTTTTATTAATTATAGTATAATATTAATAGCCTTTATTTATAAGGATATAGAATAGATTATAATTATTAATAATAAATAGAATTAAAGTAGGTTTAATTTCTAATTTACTTTCTAATTTAAAGTCTTCTACTTTATTATTTAATACTTTTGTAGATTTTAATACCCGATTATATATTAGAATTACCTTTTCCCCTAATCTTCCGCTATAGATTTATATTATTCTTCCCCCTTTAATATAGGAGGAGCCGTAGTAGTCTTAATTAAATTAATACTAATTTTATTCTTAAGGTTTATAGCCGGTAAGTATAGGTACTATATTGTATAATGGTCGGAGGCATTATATTTTATATAAAAAACTATTCTCTTTACACTTATGGTATTTTTTATTAGAAATTTATTTAATATAACGAGCGGAGCTATTACCTTTACTTCTCCAACTACTACTATAGTTTTAAGAAGGGCCGGTAATCGTTTTGCTTATAAATATATTTATATTATTATTAGCGTCTTTTGTATTTAGTTCGGTGGAGGAGGAGCCGGGGTTATTTATAAGGGTATAATTACTTAATAGGGAAATTCCTAAATTTCCATATCCTTCTATATTATAGCTTAGACTAGCTGTAACAGCCCAAATTAACTGGGCTATTATAGAGGCTTCCTTACTATACCCAGTCTAGGCACCTAGACTATAGTGCCCGGGCCACCCCGTAGCCCGTACTCTAGCTCTAACTCTAACTCGCTATATAATATATCTACTACGTACAAACGGCTAGCTAGAAGCCTTCCTCTATAAGGGGTGTAGTATAGTTAGTACAAATACTAGCCCTAATTAATCAATAAGGTTCTACGAAGAAGAAAAGAGAGGAAAAGAGCGCCCTCTAGGCGGGTATAGCCAATTATCCTTTTCAAGGGACGTGCGCGCGTATGGGCCGCGGGAGTGCCGTTACGGTAAGGGACCTAATTAGCCGTATCGGTTGCCTACCGGTAGGGATTCGGATTGGTAAGACTATTAATCGCTTTAATTATAGGTAGTAAACCTTATAATATTAGCCCCCCCCCTTCTCCCCTAATTAGAAGACTATATATACATTTATATTTTATTAAATATATTCCTAAAATTAGATAATAAACCCCTTCCTTATTATTGCTTATTTAATACCCGAATAATTTATATATCTCTTAAATCTCCCCTCTCTCTTTTTCTTCCTTTTTTCTCCTTATTTAATAAGATTACAACTTTCTATTGTAAATATCCCTCTTTAATACTACTACTCCCTCGCTACTTTTATTATTCGTTCTTTATTTTTCTATTCTTTATTTAATCTTTTACTCCGTTCTTACCTTCGTTCTTATATTAATTTAGCGTCCGTAATTACTTTAAAATATTTAGTACTCCCAATTCGTTTAGTTTCAATTAATTTCTATAATTTTAATAATTTTAATAATTTTTATAATAGTAATAAGGCTCCTCCCCAGCCCCGCCCCTAATTCTTATTCTAGCTCCTAAGAAGTTTAAGATTCCTAGACTAGTTTAAACCCAGCTTAATATAACTATAATTAGTATTAGTAAAATTATAGTTAATAATACAATTATAGTCTTTATTATTAATATAATTAAGTTTTAATTTAATTAGTATATTTATTATCTCTTTTATAGATACAATTATATTGCTACTCCTATAAGTAGTTCGGTTATTGTATATTTACTTTATTAATATAGTAAGGTTATTTATAAGCCGACCCTAATTTAGGCTTGGGACGCTTTTGTAGTTTAGTATATTATTAATTACATTTCTAGTCCTTAATAGACTATTTTTTTAGCTACTTTTAAGACACTCCCTAGTTTCTCTCTATTTGAAGAGAAAGGCTTTATCCCCTCGTATGTTAATTATTAGTTTCTTCCGCTTTTTTATTTATATTAATTTTTTTATAGCGGCTCTTAGGGTAGAGTTAGTACTCCGGCGGCCGCTATTCGCCCGCTTAGTCCCTTTATTGAGCCAGGTGAATTTAGTACTAATTCTTTGTTGGGAATTGAATTAATTAAGCTCTAGAAGAGGATAATTATTATAGAGTTCGATATAAATAAAGTAAGGTAGGTAGTAGACCCTACTATTGAAAGAATATTAAATAAATTTATTAATTAATATATTAAAGAATTTAAGGCAAAGAAGGCGAAAAAAGCGGTTATTATTACTTTTAAATTCTCTATTCCAGTAGCCGGCCCCTCCGGTATTTAATTGAAATATTATTTCTTAATTTATAAGAAGGATAATACTCCCAGTAAATACTTCTATATTAATATTTTTACTATTATTATCCTATATAGATTCGAATAATAGGATGCCCTTATTCTTTAATTACTCCTTAGTATCTATTCTTCTAATAGTATTCGCCCACTCCCCTCGCTATTATCCAACGTATATCCGGAGAATATTCGCCCTTATACTTTATACAATTTTATAAATAAAAATATTATTAGTAATAGGAGGGAGGATTTTGGTAGTTTCAATATAAATAGCGCTATAAGGGATTTATTAGATAATAATATTATAAAGGATATTTAGTATTTAGGGTAGTCTTAGGCTTAGCCTAAATAAAATTTTTATTCTTTATAATTTGGTTTGTAAATTTTTAATTTTGTTTTTTAACTATAATTCCGTAATAAATTCCCTATTATCCGTCTATAAATTCTTAATCCGGGGTACTTTCAGGAAGGTACTTCTTAATATATTAGTTCAATAGTCCGTTATTTATAACTACGGGTCTATATTTCCCTTTGAAATAATTTAGTACTATAATCTTTAAGAATTCTTATAACGGTTCCTAAATTAAATCCTAATACTCTTTCTACTTTATTAAAACCTTTCGAACTATACCTTTGCGCCTTCTTATTGTATTAGTATATAGAATTTTTTCGATTTGGAATTCTAATTCCCTTTCGACTTCGATAGCAGGTAATTAATTATTTATAAGCTTCTAGCCTAGGAGGGGATCGGTAACTATTCGGCGGAGGAGATTAATATAGAAAACATTGTAAATAGTTCGAAGGAGACCTAAGAATTCAATTATATAAGGGAAAAGAATTTTAGAGGTAGTATACTTCGTATATAATTAATCGAATTTTTTCTTCGGGCGGTCTATTATATAATTCTTTAAATTAAATTAAACCTTATTTCTAATTTAAAAGTATTCTACTAATTAATAATACTAGTTAATCAATTTCTATTATTCTTAAGCGGCTATTATTATAGTTATTTAATATAAGTCTATAATTTACTATACCTTTTAAATAAATTAATAAACCCTTTTCTCGGAAAATAAGAGAGGAATTCCTAAATAGACTCCTTCTTTAATAATAGAAATAGGAAATTCTATATTAAACCCGTAGGTGATAAAGAAGGGAAATATTCCGATAGAAGTATTAATATGGCTATTAATAGTTAATTGGACTATAGGGTACTACTTATCCTAATTATCCTATATATAATTAATTACTATTTGTAAATATATATATATCTTTTAATTTATATATTCTAGGCCGTTATAGGTTTATAGGTAGTATATAGTATTTAGTAAGCACTTAATATTAAAGAATTTATGGAATTTAGCCTAGAATTAGTTAATTTAATTCGACCCTCTATTATTAATAATAGACCGCAGGAATTTATAGTAGCAGACGAAATATTATAAAAAACATTCAATATATAATTCAATTTCTATAGAAGGTATAGGTTTTAGGATTATACTCTTACTTATTCGATCTTTAATTATTTAGAGGTAAGTATTATTATTAAACTTCGGGAGATTAATAATAAAATTTATTTATATCTTTCTATTAAATTAGTCCAGTACTAATAGGGATTGTATCAAACCCTATTTTATTTTTACTAAACCTTTATAAATCCATAAGTATAATAATTATAAAGGAATTACCAGATATAAATATTTAGGAATAGTTAATAGAAATACTAATTAAAAGTAATTATAGTATTTTCTCGTTTTAAATAATTAAGAATGTGGGAATTGTATATTATTTGTATTAGGGTAGTACAGAGTATATTAAGTTATTAGGACCGGTCTAGAAGGTTTATAGCATCCAATTTTATATATATTAATACTCTTAGGACTTAGAAGCAGCCTTAGTAATAAAGGTAGCCCCTTAAATTAATATTATAGTCCGTAATCTAAATTTTAAGTTTTAATACTAGGTTAAAGTATTAGTTGTTATTCTAAATTACTATCCTTACTTACTAACAGAAATAGTTCTTCAGCGCTATTTAATTTTAAAATCATTATAAATCCAGATTTTTAAATACTTATATACCCTCCTTCTTAGAATAGATAATTTGAAACGCTAGAATACGGAGCAGAGAGTACTTTTTTAATATAGAATCTGGAATTATTTATAAATTATAGGCTTCTTTATTTTCTTCCGTCGGTATATTTTATTTTCTTTATAAAAGCGTATTAAAGATAACGCCTTCCTTCCCCGGCCGGTATTCAATATTGAAATTGAATTAAAATAGGTATTCTACCTATTATATTTAGCGCTTTAAAAAACACTATATTTTTATAAAATATTTTAGGTTCTAATAATCCGTTAGAATAGTAAAAGATTTACAATTTTTATAATTTAGCCGACTATTATTCTAAATAGTTAATAATCGCTCATATTTCTTTATTATAAATTAAGTAGTTCCGCTCGGCAATATTAAACTTCTACGAATAATATTTTATAATTATATATTTCCTAGCGCTATTTATTTCTTAGAAAATAATACTCCTTAAAGTGAAGTTATTGTAGTCTATCTTTAAATATATCTTCTTATTATCTAAGTTAAATTCTATAAGAATCAAGGTTTAGGTGAATAATATTTTTAATAGTTGGAAGGCAGCCTTATACTTCTTTATTTATTTAAATATAACCCCTTTCCTTATTAATATAGTAAGGGGTATAATAATTTTAAAGAATTAAAGTATAAATATTTAATAATAATTAACGAATCCAAAGAAATTATATACACCCTTTTAAAAAGTAGGAGGAAATTATTTGAAGATTGTTTTAACTTTTTTAAGGTCGGTTTAAATTCTTATATTAGCGTAAATAATAAATCCGAAGTATTTAATATTTTTAACAGCGAATTTATATTTATTAGAATCGAAGTGAAATTTAGCGTTTAAGAGTTTCTATAATATAAAACGGACTTTAGTTTCGTAGTCTGCTTTAGAGCTTAAAGTATAAATAAGGATATTATTTATATATATTATATAGAATTTATTAAAATATTTCTATAAAATAAAATTAATATAACGTTAGAACGTTGCTAGGGCGTTTATTAATCCGAAGGGGACTATTAATTATTCGAATAAACTATAGCGAATCTTAAATACTATTTTCTATTCCTCCCCTATAATTATATGAATTTTATAGAAGGCTTATATAATATTAACCTTTATATATTACTTTACCCCTTTTAATATACAAAATGCTTTTTTAATAAGTAGTAAAGAGTATTAATTTATTTGTATAATAGCGTTTAGGGCCTAGTAATTATAATAAAAGCGGAGGCCGCCTCCCGGTTTTTTTATAATTAGTATTAGCGTATCCGCTTCCGAATTATTCGCCCTAATAAACCCTTTATTTAATAAATTTTTTAATATTTTCTTTAAAATTAAGAATTCTTTGTAAGTTATATTATATAACAGTCCGATGGCTAAAGGAAATTCCTTACTATTGGGTCCCTTCTTAATTTTAATCCGGTAATTAATACCCGGACGATAGAGATTCTATTTATTAATATTCTTTTTCATTTATAACGGAAGGAGATTATAATATACTAGGAGAATTATCTTCTCCAATTATTCTTTAATATAGACCTTCTTCGGCTATAGCGCCTTTTTTATATCTTTTAAATTAACTATATAAATAACTTCCTTAATTACTTTATTACTTAGTTCTCTCCATAGACGGTGAATATAGCCTATAAAGATAGTAGCGAATATATAAGTAATAGATTTAATATTTTTAATAAAATTTATATTAGGTATTTATTTTTTTCTAATATATAGAATTTAATAATTTATAATACCTAAGTATATCCTCTTCTCGTAAGGAATAGAATAAGCCCATATCGCCTTTAATTATAACTTATTTAAAATAATTGGGAATTTTAAGAAGGGAATAATATAAATATATACGGAATATATAAAATTTATCGATTTCAATTAGAAAGTAAATAAGTTTTTAAATAGTAACTCTTTCTATAATAGTAAAAATTCCTTTTATACAATAGAGTTTAATAAGGATAATAGGAATTTTAAGATTTTCGATAACCTTTTTACTTATTATAGTATAATATTAGTAACTCTTATTAATAAGAATATAGAATAGATTATAATTATTAATAATAAGTAGAATTAATATAGGCTCTATTTTTATTTGCGATTTTAATTTGAATTCTTTTACTTTACTTAATACTTCGGATAGTTCCGGGGCCCGACTTCGCTCTAGAACTACTCTTTTTCCTATTTAGGAGCGGAATTTTAGTCCTCTTCTTCTTTTGATAATAGAGGGATTTTTATAGCAATAATTTAAATACGGACATTATTATTCAGAGGAACCGCCAGTAAATAAAAATAATTATTTATATAGTAATTAGAAGTTCTATAATAGAAGTATAGTTTATTATTTTTATACTTTTGGCGTTTTTTATTAGAAATTTATTTAATACGTTTAGAGAAAGTAACTAAATTTAAACTACTTTACTTTCAATTATTATAACCCTTAGTAAATGCACCAATATAAGTAGTTCCTATAATAATATTACTATTAGTATTTATAATATAATTTTTAAATTAGTTCGACATTTAGGCCGCGGATTATTATTATTGGTTATTAGGCTTCTAAGTGCTAGTTTAGGATATAGGAAGGTAGAGACCATTACTTTAAGTAGAGCGGCCTCGCTAATTACAAAAATATTTATAGCAGTCTTCTTTAAACTCGGACGTCCGTTTATAATTAGTAGTATAATATTGTATTTGAACTATATATATACAGTAATTATTTGAAAAATCTATTAGGAAGAATTTATTATAGAACTCTTTATTAATAGTACAACGGAGGTATATTAGCTTAGCGGGACCTTTTTAATTATAGCCGCCGGCTTTTAGTAGTTCATTATTAAAAGTAGTAAGGAAATTCGCAAATAGTTTTCCATTTTTCTAATATAAGTAAGAGAATTTATTGAAGGTAATATCCCAACTTTAATAAGAATTAAAAATTATTTAAATTTAATTGAATAAAGTTATAGGGTCTTCTTCGCCATAGGCGGTTTTACTAATTTAAAATCCTTTGAATTAGAATTACTTATTATTAAAAAATATATTAAAGATTTTATACTATACAATATTATAATTAGTATAAAACTTTATTTTAATATTAATATTATATATTTTAATAAGTTTATTATAGTAAAAGAGGAAGGTATAGGGTTGCCTATCCTATTTCGGGAATTTTAAGGATTTTTTTTATAGGGGGTAGTACTATAACTATTATTTTGGTTAGTAGAGGTATTTAAAGTAGGGATATTAGAGCCCGCTACTTGGCTCGTAGAGGCATCCGCGAGGTGAAAATTCAAATATAGAATTAAAATAGAATTAGGATTGGAATTAAAGAAAAGGGATTTAATACAATTATAGAGAGAAGTATTATTATTTAGTACTCTAATAAGGCTTTTAATAAACTTATCGCTAGGGGTATTACTAATATTTAGTTAATTATTATTTTGAAAATTATAGAACTCTTCTTCGTTATTAAAGTCTATATTATTAAATCTAATTATAGTAGGTAATAAATATTATAATACCGCGCTATAAATTATTAGCTATTTTTAATTCTATTCCGCTATTTTATTATTAATTTCTATTGTATTTACTAGTAAAAATGGAGGTAGAATTTAGTATAAAGGGTATAATATAATTGGTATAAATATTAGCTCTAATTAATTAATAAGGTTCTACAAAGAAGAAAAGAGAGGAAAAGAGCGCCCTTTGGGCGGATATAGCCAACTATCCTTTTCAAGGGACGTGCGCGCGCACGGGCCGCGGGAGTACTATTACGGCAAGGGATTTAATTAGCCGCATCGGTTGCCTACCAGCAGGGACTTGGACTAGCGAGACTACTAGTCGCTTCAGCCACGGGTAGCGAGCCCTATAACATCCCCCTTCTTACAACATCTTCCTTTCTTTATTTTTATTTACTATTGTAAATAAAGGTTACCCCCTATATTAAGTAGTAGCTACAACTCCACAGCAGTGACTATTGCGAGTAGTATACTCCTCGCGCCCCTATTTTAAGCGATTTTGTTCAATCCGATTGAACAATCGTCAATTGCAAATACTAGCGTTAATCCTACAATTACTACTATTCTATTAAACTTGTAACAACTATTTAAATCGCTAAATTATTTAAACCGCGAACACGCTAATCCAATTAAACGACCTTTCGTTTATATAAAACGTTAATCCTATAATTACTATATTAATAATCCTCTTTATTAAATCTACCACACACTACCAACTTCGACTCTTCTTTACTTTGGCTTATTGCAAAATAATAAAATCGACTACCAATTAAGTCACTACTAACAATAACCTTATTTACCTTTACTCATTATAATAATAGCAAAATAAACAACAATCAACCGTTACTATTACTACTAGAACCTCCAACTTACAACTACGACCGCTATCTTCCAACTTACTTGTCGTAATAATAGTACTAGATGACTAACAACTATTATTACTAACTATTACCCTTACTAAAATCTCCCCACCACTTTTACTCGTTGTAATAATAGTATTATAGACCGTAGACTCTTCTCTCCTCTCCCCGCCAAAGTAGTCACTTAAGCGCGCCTTTCCCCGACTGACCGCGAGCTAAACTCTCCCTAAGATAATAAATTTCTCAACCGCGAACCAAACTCTCCAAAATAACAAGCTTCTCAACCGCCTTTTTATTAAACCAAACTTCCCTTTATTAAGTTAAGCGAACTTCCCCCGCTGAACTTACTATACATTACAACTCTTCTTAATTTACTACCCTTGTTTTTTTAAGACAGCGACGAAGATACGGGCGTCGTAGTGAATCCTAAGATCTATACTACTAAGCGCTTCCTTTTAAGAACTAAATAGACTTATTACTCTAGAAACCACCACTCTAGAACCCAGCACTCGAAAGCCTAGACTGGCTATCCCCAGCTCAAAAAAGCTTAAATCTATAGTCTTATATTATTACGGTTAATAATACCCCAATCTACTAGAGCGCTCCAGCCTACTAGAGCGCTTAGTAACAATCAACTATACTACTCCAATTAATTAGTTAAACCGCCAACTAATATCCACGACTATAATTTTCTTCTTATACCCCGAATACTACCAATCTACATAACCTATTTTCCCTACTTAGGACTCGGCCTTTCTTGGGATACAGAATTAACAAACTCACTACCGTAGCTTCTACAACTATACTCTCCCCCCTCTTTGCAACAAGATTGTTACTCTCTCTCTCTCGCGTATAAGTAGCTATTACTATTAACCAATACTAATTAGCCAACCAAACTACTAGCTAACATCCACAACTATGATTCCTTCTTACACTCCGAATACTCCCGAGCCACATAGCCTACTTTCCCTACTTGAAACTCGGCCTTTCTTGGGCCCTAGAAATAGATCCCTTTCTTTGTAACGAAGTTATTACTCCTTTCTTTCGTATACGAGTAGCCAAGCGGTTCTCTCAGCAACTAAGCGATTCTCAACAATAATATTAGCATTACTAGTCAATACAACTATCACTCCCTTTACTAGCTCCCTTACCAGCTCTAACAACCGTATTAATCTCTCTATTAGCTCTTTAAAGCTCGTACCAACCAATACCAGCCAGAACCCCCATTTACACCCCTTTTTTCTTTCTTTCTATTTATCTATAAAACTAACGTTCCCTACAGTAATAGCACTTTTACTACCCTCTCGAATGCTAAAGTACCAACCACCTTCTCGAGTACTAACTACCCTCTCAAACTTCAACCCCCTAATCTACCTACTGATTAGTCAACTAGCTATCCCTAGCCGCTATTTAACTTCCCGGAACTTATCGGAGCTCAGCCGTACTCGCCCGCTAAACCGAGATATATCCTATCGCTGCCTGGATAGACAAATAGATTGAAAAAGACCTAAAGATTGTCGGAGGAAACTTAGAACTTATTAGAGAAGACTTAGACGCCTAGGCCCATCGAGGACAATAGTTTCTTTCTCGTATAAGCCGGCATTTAATAGGGAAATTCCTAGATTTCCATATCCTTCTATATTATAGCTTAGACTAACTATAATAACCTAAATTAGCTAGGCTATTATAAAGGCTTCCTTACCATACCCAGTCTAGGCACCCAGACTGTAGTGCCCGGGCCACCCCGTAGCCCGTGCTCTAGCTCTAGCTCTAACTCGCTACACAACATATTTACTGCGTACAGACGGCTGGCTGGAAGCCTTCCTCCTTCTTACAATATCTTTCTTTCTTTATTTTTATTTACTATCGTAAATGAAGATCCCCCGTATTATTACTCTATAGGGCCGCTAATTAGGTCTTCGAACATTTGGAGAATTAATTAAAGGTATAATTATAATTTTAATTCTTTCGCTTATTTTATCGCTTATTATTTTACTACTTTAAGAGTCAAATATTTTTATATACTTATAACGTATAGTATTAATTTAAAATACTTCAATAT